ATCGTGGCTAAAGTCCTAGATGGCCAGGAGTATCATCTTAATCTATATCTTGTGGCTGATCGACGGATTTTTTCGGGCTGCACCATTTTTACTACCCTGGAATCCAGAACTCGTTTTCCGGGCCGCAAGAGCCCTTCGCCCGCTGGTGTAAATTACCAGTACGGGGGAGTCTAGCCCGGGGGGAGTTTGGCTGGCCGGACAAACGAGTCTAGTAAAGGGCCGGCCAAACTCCCCCCGGGCTCAACTCCCCCGTAGCGGTAATTTAGGCAGGCGGGCGAAGGGCTCTCGGCTGCCGAAGGAAAACGGCTAACGGCCCGATACTAGTTAGGCATCCAGGGTACATTTTTACCTGAGAAGAGATTATCAGGGGTTTTGTTTGGTGGTGCATCTCCATGGAGGTAACAATAAACCAAATCCCTCTTATCATTTTACTTTCAATAGGAAGAAGGTTGTAGATAATATGATTGATATATCATGTCCCTGATATATCATGTCCTTGATGTATCATCTTGTTGTTTGGTGTCCCCTGAACCAAATACATGTAGGCAGTAGATTACATGCATCGATGATTGTTATGCTCTTTTTGAGTTTTACTAAGTTAATGACATTGTTACACAATGCCATCTAACATTTTACAAACTACATGTAGATCAAGACCAAAGAAATGTCGATGCAGTCACCAAAAAGGTGCATTTATTGGGTGTCTTTGCTGGAGGGAATGTTTCTGGATTGATCATCCAAGATAAGTGTCTACAATATACTTGACATGTGGCACAAAAAGTACATTTAATGATAGAATTCTGTGAATCTTCTCTTCTAGATAGAACTAGTTCTAGTAGCTGGCATAAGGCCACTTTGATACTATTGCATAGAGGCACAAGCAATCTTGAATTAAAAGAGCAATTTTCCACCACCAGAGTGTTCGAAACACCAAATGAATGCACAATAAATATCACCATCAAATATCATTCAAAAACATTAATTCATAATATAGAACTATGTACAAACCTCAACAATTCATAACAGGGATATGCAAAATTGGTACAATACAGAGTCTGACATGACATGTTTGAAGGAGCATTTCTGGCTATTCTGTGAGTTTATGAGAATAAAGGACATTAGGACAATCAGCAAAAGTTACACCAATAGCAATACAAGTATTCACTGTAATATTCCAAATAGCACAAACAAACATATATCCTTAGCCTTGCAAACAACATGGTCGAAACTTCAAACTATTCAGTTTGTACCCCTGGTGCTATATATGACAACCAAATATCTGAGCCTTCACATATCATTTAGTAACAGAGTTTTCAGTCCTGTATTTTATCAAGGTGGAAAAATGCACCATTGTGACAAACACGAATACTATTATATGTTCATTAAAACATTATGATAAAATGATTATTTCAGACTGAGTATTTTTGGACACTTTGTGACACTAAATGTACTAAATGTATGGCTTATTTTGTAATCGTCAAAGCATGGTTCAAATAAGATGGTCCCAAGAAGATAGCAATTCAGACAATACAAGAACTGCAAATATATATACCAAGGATAAGCTCATACTGGCAAACCAAAGTGCTGTCTAGAAAGCAGGAACACACTAACACTGTACAACAGCAATTCTTCCACAGCATCTAACACAGAACACTTCTGACATGATGCAGTTCCTACTAAAGTGTCTAAAGTGTTAACACGAGAACCAACGATATGGACGGATAGCAGCATTTGTTGTAGCCTGGCGTCCAGTCTATTGTGGTTAGGCTTCCCGGTAGGTTTTGCACAATGGAAGTTCAGTTAGCCCTGCCATGATATTGTGGTGAGGCTAATCAACTTCTGGTGTACAAAACTGTGTAATACAAGGTGTAATACAGGTGTAATACAAACACCGAGCAGGGCAGGGGAAACTATTTCCCCGAAAGAGAGCCCCTACTCCAACCATAATAGAATGGACACCAGGCTACATTTGTTGGAGACCTCCCACAGCTCCAGTCTCTCACTAAGACCACGGGTTCTTACTGCCAGCGCCTGCTTCTATGGAGTCCACGGGTAGCGAAGCCTGGCTGGCGTTCGTTGCCTGGGACCTTCTCATGGAAACTTCCGCCGGCGAGATCTGTCTCAGGTCCCGTCTGGCCTTCCTCACCGGAGTCATTTCTCGCAGTGACCCGCTGGGGTCTGTGTAGGAGCTTTTCTGCAGCGACATCGCCGCGATGTCCTTCTGTTCTTCGGCGAGAGTTCGCGACTTGTGTACGACGCTGCCGCTGTCCCTCCCGCCGTTCAGTGGTACGTCCCGGAAGACGTCCTCGTCTTCGGTCTGCGAGGGGGTCTTGATTCTGGGCGCTGCTTCCCTCCTGTTGGGAGAGCCCGGCACCTTGTCGTCTCCGTGGGACCGTCGCTCTCTCCTGGACGCTGACTTCCGATCTTCCCGCGGCGTGTCACCCTGTCCTCTCTCCGGTTCCTGGAACCTCACCGACAACGCCGCGCCGCCGTTCCTCACCTCGTCCCTCAGCCCCGTTCTGGACGGCGCCATCCCGTCCCGGACGGATATTGAGCTCGCGACGCTGCTCCCCACGATGTCGTCGCCGTCACCCTGGGAGCCGCTCCTGGCCACCAGCTCCCTCATCTTCTTCTTCAGGTCGCGACTGGTCTTCTTGTAGTAGTACAGGTCTTTTTCTAGCAGCTGGCACTTCTGCTCCAGCTGGCTGACGGTCTCCTCTGTCGTCTCCTTACCGCCCTCGGATGCCTGAGAGAAGGCAAAGCAGTACCAACATGTCAGTGCACTATAGTTCTATTTTTCTAATAGTGGGTCAAGGTCTAGTTCCGCAATTACTCCGCATGTAGTGTCTAAAAGAGTCTCGTCTAAAAAATGATCGAGCCCAAAAAACACATGTTTAAGTCGATCATAAATTCTCTTTTATCGATCCCACCTGACATCAAACGGATGTGAGACGAAAGCTTGTTTATTACTGCCAGGATTGGGTCGGAAAGTTTCGGCATCCCAGCGAATGTGGACATATACACTTTTTTTTTGTCCTGAGTATGTGGTCAACCGATGCCAGAATGAGTGGGCCTCTTTTGGATAGTAGACATTTTCTGTTATGAATCCCATAAATAAAAATTGACATAGCCATTAGATTTGGGGGGACATTTTTTTAACCTCCCAAAAAAGAACTGTGCCTGCCATAAAAAGCAAAACATCTCCAGGAAACCTTTTTTATTGGATATGCAGCCATAAAATATGCTTAATGATTATCATGATACCCAATGGCACAGCAAAATAAGCGAATTGAGACCTCAATCATAAAGGAGAGTTGTCTGAGTAACAACACACCTTGGACAGTACATGCACCCCACCTACCTGTTGCATCAAGAACTGCACCTGCTTCTCGTATTCCTTCTGCTGATTGAGAAGCTTCCTTTCTGTATCCATTGCAGCACGCTGCAGAAGGCAAACCACATGAGAACAATCCAAGGCTGATGAACAAGCAAAACTTCAAACACACTGTGGTTAATTTCAGTTGTTTTAAGTTTCAATTATCTTCATCGAACTTTATATAATATTTCAGCCACAGTTCTTACATCATATAAAGGCATCCATTGCAATTTCAGCATGGAAAACTGAATTTTGAAATATCTGGTAATTCTATTTTTTAGTACCGGCAAGTTGAATCAATTGCATCTCATAGCATACTGTGAAGCAAAAAATGTGATGTTTGTATGTGTGTATCGTAGGCTGGTTCTAGATTTTTATGAGCGGTACCGAAAAAGTAAGAGATGTACAATGTAGCTTGTTTTGGGGCTATCTCAAATGCTTGGAAAATGTGCTAAGAAATAGCAGTAAATGTCAATATCAGACAGATTTCCTAATCCAGAATATTTTTGTTTTGTCACCCCAAAATTGAGTTGTTGCTCAACTTTTCTAAAGAAACATCTGGACCAAATTGGAACCTGCATGTGTGATCATGTGATGAGTTTCTGCATGCCTACCAGCACGTCGGCAGAACGTACTGCGCCTGCGCAGAACCCCGTATTTTCGCGTTTTTAGTTGCCTGTTGCAGAGGATATCTTTTCCTACACAACATTTGGAAACTACTGTCGAAATGCTTACCTTATATGAGCGAATACAACCTTATATGAGACATTCTGCCGAAATGCTATGTATAATACATTACGGGTTTCGCGCAGGTGCAGTACGTTCTGCCAACGTGCTATGCCTACCTGTAGTGAAGACTCCATCTCCCGGATGAGCCTGTTCTGTTCATCCACCTTCAGCTCCATCTCCCCATACTGCAGCTCCAGTCTCCGCTCTTCCTCCCTCAGGGAGATCACCTACAACACCACAGGTTAACAGGTTAAAGGCATCCAGTGCAGTTTTTAGGGCTTGGAAACGCAATTTTTCAAAGCTAATATTCCAGCCATTTATCTAGTACATACTGAGTTGAAACCACACTGTCCCAATGTATATTGACCCTCATGGAGCAACAATTCCCAAAATTCTGACGGAAAATGGTTACTGGAAGGGCCCTGGGCTGATTTTTAGGGTACCACCTAGAAAATAATTTAAGGACTCTTGGGGCTTGTTTCTGCAGTTTTAAAAGCCCAAAGTATGAAATACTGGCTCAAATGTGCTAATGTAAAGCAGTATGTGTCAACATCACAAAGATTGCCAGGTACCTTGTCGAAGTACTTGGTGAGAAGTGTCCTGGTTTCTGACACGGACAGGGCGTGTAGTTTCCCCAGCAGCATGTCCTCACTGTGGGTCAGCTCCGAGCGGCGCAGCTCCTGCCGACGGCTGGCGATCAGGTCGTTCTTGTACTCGATGGCAGCGTCTAGTGCCTCAATGGCTTCATCCAGCTCTATCAGCCTTCGCTCCTCCTACAGACAAATAAAGTGGTTCTTTTAGGAATCGTATTACAAGATTTTTCTTTTACACATTCAAGATTTCTCACTTAAGTGCTTACATTTTGATGTCTATCAGACACCTTCCTCAGAGCTTCTGACTGGAGTTCTGCTTCTCACCGCTTTATGTAGCCGATGTAGGTGGTGCTTTTGTGGCGAGAACGCAATCCCAAAGCACCACCTACATCGGCTACTGTATCGTATACTTCACCAACCAGATGAAACTATTTTCGGAAGTGGTTCTTTTAGTTTCCTCATTGTTACCTTAATAATGACACTGTGTAAACTATCTTCACATTTTCTATAAGAGTGTACATTACACAGGAACATGCAGAATTCTTTTATCGGTGCCGTGAATTTAGATAGACCATGCAAACAGTTAGTAAAAGATTTATTTGTAATATATTATATACCTTGACAGTAAATATTGAACACCAGCTAACCAAGGTTGGCTGAAGTTAGGGTGCAGTCTGACCATATTTAGGACACCCCTCTCTTCTGAAATCGAATTGAATTTGAATCAAATTTGACAGCTAACCATGTCCGACCTACTTCCGAACACAAGCCAACCACCAGCCAAGCAAGGCAAGGTCAACCATCCAAACCCGAATGTTTAAACATTTTGAAACATTCGGCTGGCGCAGCCAAACAGTAGCCGACCTGGCCGAACACCTGTGAGCTGACATTACTAGCATGGAAGTTCATCTGAGTTGGTAAAGAACATGAAGAAAATTAAACTGTTCTCCAAGTCCAAACATGGCTAAAAGTCATGTGTCCACTGTCAGCACTTGGGTCATCAAGCTGAGTGATTCAGGCAAAAATTTCTGGTGACTTATTTTCGTTTTGAGTTGGAGAACAGTTTAATTTTCTTCACCAGCTGACATTGCTTTGAGCCCACTAATAACTCCTAACCATGGTTGGGGGAAAAAAAAAGGGAGGTTATTTTCTTCTATGTGTGACAGGGGCTTCACCAAGCTCACCTTAGGATCCAGTACGTTCCCCTGTGCTAGTTTGGAGTCCAGTGCGTCTCTCTGTCTGGAGATCTTGTCCCTGCCCTGTCGCAGTGTCCGCACCTCGTCCCTGACCCTCTGTCTCTCGTCCGTCTCCCCGCTGGACAGTGCACTGGTCCTCTCCTCCAGCTTTCTGTCCACCTCCTCAAGCCGAGAGGACAGAGTGGTCAAGTCCTGGAGGGAAAAAAAGGGGACTTGTTAAAAGATAAAAGAGCAGAGGTAGAAATACCTTTTAGTTAACTCTCATTATGCAAGAAGTCATGTTTTCTGTGCGAGACATTGTAGACACTAGGTTGCTTGGGGCACAAGTTATCATTTTTCAAATTGTATCTTAAGCTTTTTAAAGCTTACAGATGCAGCACAGCTTATGGCTTTAGAAATACACTGTGTCCTGCCTCGGTCAGCATGTGTGCAATGCTTTATAGGCGGCCTGGCTTAAGCCTTATGACATATCAATGGGCAATCTAGCCTTTCGGAAAACATTTTAAAGTATTTTGAACCCTGAAGATGGAAATGTTATTCCACATTTCAGTCTCCAACACCTTTCTATCATAATGACCATATGGTATTCTGTGGATACCCTGGACTTCAGTAACTGTTATATTAATTTTATAGTATATTAAGGGGTACAACTTATACAATACAGTTTAACAAAGTAAAACTTGCATGGGGACACTTTTATTTTGAATGTCAAGAAACCAATTGTACGATGTTTTGTCACTCAGGTGTCAGATCATGGAAATGGTCGATCCGCTTGAAAAATATATGTCTCTTGAACGGGTCAACTGCCAAAAAGGCTAGGGTCAGCAGTTTTTTCTAGGGTTGGTCGGGAATTCAAACAGTAAACACGACATTTTGTTTCCTAGGCCTAACAGAAATATCAAGCTAATTGTGGATCCAAACAATGGCAAAGATCGCCACGAAGAATGTCTGACTACTGACCTTGGTGATGACCTGACTGGATCGTAGCTTCTTCATCTCCAGCTGGCTCCTCTCGGCGATCATGGCCTCCTTCTTGGCGAGGATCTCCTCTCGTTTCTGCAGCTCCCCCTCCAACATCTCCACCCCCCGCCGCCGCTCCAGGACCTTCTCCATCTCCTCGTCCAGCCAGCGCCGCTGTTCATCCAGCTTCTGCTGCTCCAGCTCCGCAGTATGGCCTGGGGTACAGATGGGCAGCTGTCAAACTACAGCCAAACTTAGTAAAATCTTGAACTTTATTCCAATTTATATGGAGATCAAATTTTCAGCGACCACTGTCGCCTTCATCAGAATAATTAATGACCAATCACTTCAAAACGTAATCTCGTGAGAGTTACGGTTAGATACATGTAAGTGACCTTATTCATACGGCACTTAACTGATACATGACGTAAGCAATTGATGTAAGTGATGGCTAGAGTGCTCTGATATATATGGCCTCCTTAATGCCTCAAGTTGTCTCAAGTACAGTCAAACTTATCTAAAATGACCACCCAATGGACCAAGGAAAAGTGGTCTTCTTAGACAAGTGGTCTTCTTATATGAATGGCATGGTGACAAGATAGGACAGAGAAGAGGGAAATAGCAGCAAAATTGCTTTTTACAATAGATTGACTCTAATAGATCAAAAGAGCCGGCACAATTTCACATTGCCCAAAGACTGTATTGTTTTCGAAATCAATGGCAAACTGCAGCTGGTCGATGCCATGAGAATTTCTAGCTAGTTATTATCAAAAAATGTTTTAGGCCAAATAGCTAAAACCAGCCTACTATAGACAGCAAGCAACCGTTTTCTGTCAGTGATATTGCATTTTGTCTTGAGCTCACAGATATCAGTCTGCCATAGAATTGACTGAATGAAAATCTAGTTTTGCTGCCATGAAATCGCATGAAGGCTTTGATTTGTTTGAAATTCATAATCTTATCCACAGGTCAGTTTTTTTTCTTCTTCGCAAAGCAAACCAGCACACTGAACCAGCAGACTGTTAACGTTCTTACCCAGAGTGCCGGCGCTGCCCTGTCGGAGCCGTTTCTTGGCTGTGGCGACCTCCTCCGTCTTCCTCTTCAGGATCTTCTGCTGCTGCTGGTTCTGGATCTCCAGATCTTTGATCCTCTGCTGGTCCCGCTGCAGCTCCCTCTCCAGTTTGGTCTGGAACAATAATTCATTTATCTTAACTACGAAGACAAAGGCAAAGCAAAATACATAATGTTTACCTTCACCTGGTCTAGCCTAACAAACTAATAATTATGTTTATTCCTACTCATACATTCATTCATTCATAATAATAAATATATATGTTGACCAGTTCCTCCAACTCAGACCTGCTACATAATATAAGCCAACACTACAGGGTGTCTGCTACAGCACCAGTTACCATGGTGACAGACATCTGGTCAAGGTCACTGACTTTTAATTATTGTTTGGAGAAAAAGAAGAGGAAGAAGAAACTGAGCAAAAACAATGATGCTTACCTTCGCATAATTATGTTTTGTCTCCGAAACTCAGAAAATTCCCCACCAACTTAAACTATGCAACAAAGTTGAGATAGGATCTAAGGTACAATTTAAGGGTATTCTTTGCCCCCAGCCAATAATCTTACAATTACAACCGGAAAAATTTTTGTCCATCATGGGAGGCAAAATTCAGTCAATTGATGGCTAACTGGATGCTTGGCTAGAAAACTGGCTTGTTGGAAGGTCTGGAGAACCAAAATCACAATTTCCATAATGGTGTATTTTCCTATAATGTAAATTCAAGAACAGCTGCCCACATTTTCTGGCCCAACAGTATATCAGATGAGGAACTCTTCTACAAAACTGGTTGTAGAAGATTGTCCACAGAAACTACCAACAAAAGACTGAAACGGCTTGACCTGATGTACTAAGAATGGAGGACACAAGAATACCCAAGACAGCTTTAACTTGGAGACCCAATGGGAAAAGAAACAGAGGAAGACCCAAAACCACCTGGAGAAGAACTGTAACAGGTAGCCAGACATACATGTACCCATGATTATCCTGGCGAGCAGCAAAGAAGGTGGCCAAGGGCAGATCCAAAATGGAAGAAAAGACTTCATGGCCTTAATTGTCTTGCAAGGGATGAAGATGATATTATTAAGTAACTAGAGTTCGATGATCTCATACCTCCATGACATGTGTATTGTTTTCATAAATCTTACGCATGGTGATGACCACCTGTAATTGGCTTACATTTTTCACCGCATATATTCAAATCATATGAGGCCATTTGCATATATTGTATCAATTGATCATACTCTCCACCAAATGACAGGGTTATCTTAAGAAATAAGGCTATTCTAGCGTTTCCTCATAAATTATGCAAATGAGGTCCTGATTGACATAAATTATGTTTAGTGATGTTCACCTTCACTGAACTTCCAATTATGGCAAGTATTAAATTCCCAGCAGTTACTACCATAAAATTGTACCAATTTGCCATTTATTATGCAAATTAGGTCTTTCTTTACATAATCGATATCTGCCAATGATCTTGTCGTTCTCACTAACATATGTCTATAGAGTTT